TTTTTTTTTATTTTTCAGGTTCTATAGCAAGAACCAGCCCCTCAACCATCTCGTACAGAAATATTCGCTTATGGCTTAAGCGTTTTGTCTGTTTGTCTTTGAAGAGCGTGTTTGAGACGCAACCATCTTCTCTGGATTTGTAGCCTCCTCGTTATAAATCTCGTAGCTTGTCGCTGTATTCTTCAAGCTTGTTGATGTTCGTAGATGTGTAGGGGTCACATATACTATTGTTTCATACTCCAATATTGACAAGTGAAATATATGCCGTTTTCTTGCATTCGGCTGGTGGGCAATATCTCAAATTCCTTATCAGGAACCCTAGTCACGGTTGAGTTTGCATTCTTGGTTACGATGAAAATATGGGTAGTCCATTTTAGGTCCTTGATAAGTTTTTTGGTTCCTTTAGATTTTATTACAAAATATCACATATCTAATACAGTTTTGATAAATAGTATACATCAATTAAGTGACTCATTTAAAATAACACTTCATTCAATTTGTTTTGCAAAGTACATTATATAAAACATTTTAATCTTCATTACTCAAGAGCCAAATAAATAAAGATTTTTCATCAATTTCAGCGCTTTTTGTATTCAAAAATCATTAGATATAAATTACATTATTTTCCAATATCTTAATTATTATATTAAGGAATAATGGCTATGGTGTCAAACCCATTTCTCCCATCATACATTTAGTCCAAAATTTGCGGCCCCGAACAATATAAGTATGAACTTTCCAGCTTAGTCTTTTAATTCATGTATTTAGTCTAATTTTGACCCGGTCAAATGTTAAGAAGAAAATTCCTGCCAAGTGACAGTAACATATTTGCGAAGTTGATAAGTGAGCCCATTCCAGCGACACATCAGTATATACCTAAATACAGGAAGTGACACACCCCTCCCAGGTGTGTTGACCAGTCCGGAAGACATACATGTTTATTCGAGGTCACCTCTATATAAAACCGAGTCCCTAGTATATATGCCATATAAACCAAACAATGTGTTTATCTATTTATTTTCTTTTATTTGTATATGCTGTACATAATTGATTTATAAAACTACTTAGGTATATACTCCACATGGAAGTGCTCCTACTTACAGGAGACTTATACACCGAAGAGGAAACCGAGCGCCATCTGTCGTCATAATGATCGTTAGCATAATACAACTATCAGAATGACAATTAACAAACCGACATTTCATGAACGAATCGACAAGTTTCAAAACATCAACATACAAATTGACAATTTACAAATCAACATTTAACGAATCGACAAGTTACAAAACATCAATATACAAATTGACAATTTACCAATAAAGAATTTTGAAATCACACAGTTACAAGTTACAAATTAACAATTTACGAATTACGATTTTTCAAATTACAAAGATACAAGTTACAAATTGACAATTTACGAAGTAAGAATTTTCAAATTACAAAGATACAAGTTACAAATTGACAAGTTACGAAATAAGAATTTTGACCCCGTTGGCTTTCCATAGAAGATATCCTGCGTTATACAGACCAACACGCTAAGTCGCATATTAAGGTGCATTTTACATTGTATTTCCGATTTTGTTGAAACCAGTCTTTGCTCTTACTCTTTAATATACTTGGTTTTCAAATACTAGTATTCGGTTTTGAACGCTCCTGGTGAAGATAAATCCAAAAAAGCATTTATAAAGTGTTGTTTTCATTTTTTTTGTAAATATCACTTGATAGTCGGAAAAGCAGCAAATACCAATTTTAAAGCATTTTGTTGTACTCTTTCGTCTTTTTCTCGTACAGTAATTATCTTTGCGGCAGGATTTTGTTATATTTTTACGAAGATTTGATATTTGGCATGTGGATGTATGGCATGTCACAATAACTGATGTATACACAGGCATCTGTCTCTGATTATTTTTTAATTTATATACATATAGGTATTTTTTCAGAGACAAGTGACTGTGGATGTGAAGCCTTTTACTTTGACATTACAACTTATTTTTTGTCAGAAGATTGTCCGATCTAAAATTCCTTGATTTATTTGCATTGTACATACATGTATCAAAATAAGATTTCTTTGAATTTGCCTTAGTGTCCGTATTAGAAAGGAGGTAGGCTTCGCTTCATATCGTTTAATTTTTCTATTAGTTTATTTTCCAAACTTGTGTGTTCTAGCTTCATATATATGGCATACTGACATGTTCTTATGCCATAAACAGTCACTAGAAAAATACATAGAGTTTGGTCCTCTAGTATCAGAAGTGGTTTATTTGATAGTAACATACTGATTTCATATAAAACTCCATAACTATCTGATCTCCTCATTTGTTAGATGTCTAGGAAATGATGAAATTATTAATTTGATTACCCAGTTTAATTGTTGTTTTCATTATTTCTATTTACCCACTCATATTCTGTTGTGAACTCATACAGTCAAAACAGATGCCTTACGGAGAATGCGTCAAACTTGACAGAATTCTATTTGGAAGGCATTAGAGCCTCATCTTTCTCAAATCTCTGCTTCGGGAGAGATACACAGTTACGAATCTGCATGCAAGTAATTCGTCAAAACTTCACAAATTATATTCTAGTTTGACAAAATATTGACGGTAGTTAAGAGATTGATAGTACTAGTTTTTAAGTCACGCAAGACAAAAAGGTTAATTCCGCATCTGTTGTTTTGGTGAATATTTCCCAATATTTTAACAAATACATGTCTACCAACATACCTTGATAACTTGGATCAGTCGATGGACAAAGCGTTCGGTTCTAAACACAGTTGTAATATTAAATAAACACATCATCAGGCTTTCTAATATAAAATATATTAACTATAGTTGTTTAATTATTCGGTGTCGGACTATTGGGCGTCGAACTATGGGGTGTCGGACCGTTGGGGGTGTCGGACCCATGAGGCGTTAAACTAATGGGGTGTCGGACTAACGGGGTGTCGGAATATCTTGGCCGTCCTAAGAGGCCTATGTGCATTTAGGTCAACAAGTTTGGTCAACAATAACATGTACATGTCATATCAGCGTATATGAACGATTAGAACATATGGGTCTTACATTACGAAGAAAACAAACAGACACTTCAAAAGATAGGAACATTAAAGGACAATCAAAAACCGAAGAAAAGTCTACGAAAAAAGGATAACACCATGCCTTTGGACTAAAACCAAAACAACCGTACAAACCAAGTGACTACACAGAAAAAAAAATACCGAGTAACAAGAAAATCACCCCCCCCCCCCCCCCCCCCCCCCAAGAAAATCAGACGAACTCAGATACTCGAGCAAGGTCAGCAATTCCTGTTTCTCTAGTGACATTCGTGGTTCTACTGCTGATGAACTATCAACTGTTGAGTTGTTTGAACTGTTATGGGAACTGGATTTCGAACATAATCACATATCTTTCCTAAACTCTCCGTTGATATTTAAAATTGATTAAGAACTCAAAGTTTCAACTCCCTCAGAGAAAGTTGTCAGATGAATTCTGATATTTTTTATAAAGTCATAAATTAGGTCATCCTGTATTCAAGTTTTTATAAATTCTTGGTGTTTCTGATTAATGTAAACTCAGAAAAGAGCTTCAGACCCACGAACTCAACGTGTTATTTTTCAACTTGTTTAAATTTGTAGACTAATTTTTAATTGTTTACACTTACATGCCAACAACAATAATTGAAGACATTCAGGGTACACTAAATAAAGAAACAACTTATATTCCTATGCAAACAGGATCCATATATTTAATATACTAGTAAATAACAACTGAACATGCTTTATTTCACAAACTCCTACCAAAGTTTATATGTTGCCATTAAAATGTCTTTTTGTCGATGGGTTGCTGCTTCATTGATGTATACCCACCATCTCCTTTTATTCATATATGTTTTCTCAAGATCGCAATACAGCTCGACTTTAAAGTCAAGATTCTGTAGTTTAAGATAGGTTTGCTGGTTTGCCATCCCCTTACTAACCATATTGACAAATCTCTTTCGTGGGAAAATCAAATTGACAAACTTTGTGCAGTAATTGTAAGCAGACTGCATCTTATCGGCCAACTAAAAGCATATATTCCGGTAAGTGTTCTCAAACTATATTATAATGGATATATACTTTCAATTATGAACTACTGCTGTACCGCTTGGGGAAATGCTTCAAAAACTAATATTGACAACTTATACAAGTTACAAAAGAGGGCAGCAAGAATCATTTTAAATGCAGGTTTTGATATATCTTCATCAGTTTTGTTTAAAAAGTTAGGATGGCTTGTCATTTATAAAAGAATTAAATATTTTATGATAGTGATGGTTTATAAGTGTATAAATAATCTAGCACCTGAATATTTATCTGAATTATTTTCAAGTTGTTCAGTTGTTAAAAAATACGCATTAAGATCATCTTCCCAAAATAATATATTTGTTCAACGATATGAAACTAATTATGGTTTTGAAAGAAAGTAAAAGTATAAGTGTTTTTAAAACAAAATGTCAAGCTTATCTCTTGAAAATACATGAGAACTTTTCGCAGCAGTTTTAATGTAACAATTTTACTACAAATTACTTTTTATTTAAGTAAATTGTAATTGTCTACCTGTACTATATATATGTGCTCTTGTATGCAGTGTAGTATGTTTTTGCTTTATTACCCTTTTGTTTATGTATTATTATCTTTTAAAAATTGTGTATTCTTATATGTAGATTAGAAGGGCACGGGGTGGATTAACTGTTTTGTTAACTGTGTAACCTTCAGAAAATAAAGAATTTATTATTATTAAACCATGTCTCCAAAACACTAGCTACTTGTATGTATATATAGGTGTCTCTTTCAAGAGCAAACCAATTTTAACATTTTTGTAATACCATATTACTTTAATTCGATTTTCGTCATTGCACCTGCATGGCGGGATCAAACTTTCAACTTTGAAATCATTTAACACTCAAAAGTGCTTAACTGTTCGTTTGTGTAAGCTTATATGTATTACCAAGCAAGGAGGTTTCATTGATAAAGTTCTATAATGAGTTTATTCAAAACAAAATAGCTTTTAAAATATTTGTTCTGTTTGAACAGATCGACAAAGATTACGTCATATAAATTATTTTAACCCATGTATGTACAAAGACAAAAATAATATTTGACAACCAAACACTTAAGGTCCTATTAACAACACGTTTTTCACATTAAAACAAATACATTCCTGACCGGATAAATTCTTTTTAATAAATAAAAAATGTGAGTTTTAAAGGCATGTCAGTTTGTTTAAGACTGATACGTTTGAAACCAGAGAACCAGCCTTAGTGTCATTTTGTTTTTGGGATGAATAAGTACCCGTCCACGCCCACTTTGTGTTTTTGTTAGATGAAGTCTTTTTCAACTGATTTTTATAGTTTTTTCTTATGTTGCACTGTTACACCACTGTCCAAGGTTAGGGGGAGAGTTGAGCGCTAACAAACATGTTTAACCCCGCCACATTCTTTATGTGCCTGTGCAAAGTCAGGAGCCTGTAGTTCAGTGGTTGTCGTTGGTTCATATTTGTTTTTTGTAAACTGTTTTGTTATAAATTAGGGCGTTAGTTTTCTCAATTGAATTGTTTCATATTTTTTATGTCGGGGCCTTTTATAGCCGACCATAGGTTATGGTTTTTTTTTTATCATTGTTGAAGGCCGTACGGTTGCCTATAATTGCTTACATCCACTTCATTTGAACTTTGTTGAATAGTTGTCTCATTGGCAATCATACCACATCTCCTTATTTTTTTTAAAGAAGTATAAGACTTAAGCTGGCAAAATTCTTCCCAACTTAAAATCTTCAGACAAGTTCACGTTTTAAAAAAGAAATATAGATACATAACGTATTGAATGCACGACTGTCGATATAAGTGGGATGTCTGCATGGTAACATAGGTTTTACATTATAAGCCAGTCCCTACTAACGATGTTCCAAAATGTGTTCAATAAAGTACCTAAAAATCACTTGTTATGAGGAAAAACAGTGTCGGTATAAGTCAAGCCTTTTCCAACTGATTTCTATATTTTTTTCTTATGTTGTGTTGTTACACCAATGTTATAGATTACGGGAGGGTTGAGCGCGCTCATAAACATGTCTAACCCCGCCTCAATCTGTATATACCTGTTCCAACTTAGCAGTCTGTTACTCAGTGGTTGTTGGTGGTAGCTGTTAGCCTTACTGTGTTTTTATTTGCTGTTTTGAGCATAAATTAAGCCGTTGATTTTCTCTTTCGATATTTTTACATTTTTCATGCCGCTAGGCCTTTTGTAGCTTACAATACGGCATGGTATTTGCTCAATTGATGGCCATACAGGGCCCTATAATTATTTTACATGGTTGTTCTTTTTTACAATTTGTATTATAATACTTTTATGAAAAACAAGGTATTTCAAAAAAAAAAAAAAAAAAAACAGAAACAAGATTTTTTTTTAAAAACTCAATGTTGAAATAATTTCAAATTAAACAATTTATCAAAAAAAAAAAAAGTAAAATGGGCGGTGCATCACAAACTTTTAATCCAAATTTATATATTTTACACAGAAAACAACTCGTATGTAGATCAAACTGTTTCCTTAATTGTCTATAACAACATTTTTATAAATGCGTTAATATATGAGTGACGACTTGTTAAACCATAAGTATGTGAGATTTACTTCATTGTTAATAAACAAACAGATTCTTATTTTTCGTGCCAATATAGTTTACGTATTATCTTAATCCATCTTGTTGCTTTCTGTTGCAAGGCCTTAACAAAGAAAGCACATGACGTGGAAATCATGCTTTTCAAATTAAGGAATGTTTCTTCCTCGTGCATAGCTCGTTTATTTTGTCCGGGTCTAGCTATACTGTTCGTTCTTTTTTGGTTTTATCAGATCTTCAAAATCTAAAACTTAATCCAAACTTTGAAAACTGTTAAAACCAAATTAGACCAAACGTATAGACAAAGTATACTAATTTGCAGGTCAATTAACACATATATAAATTGATTCACGATTGATGACTTTTTGTTGGCCTCAGGCGTTACTAGTGAGTCGAAATGTACATCTGGTGCAAAAACAAAATGTGTACCGTTAAATGCAACAAAACAATTGCGTTTTATTGTGTGCCGCATATTCCAGTCATAAGGATTTTACTTGAAAAGTCATCGGTCGCGCATCATTAATTTATATGTGATATTTTTCCTGCAAATAAATATATTTTTGCATATTCAGAATAATGTCATAGAATAAATACAAGTCTTCAAGATAGACCTATCCAATTTGGCGGGAAAAAGTCTTTCATATCATCACTAAAATCTGATCTAAGCGAGCTGTTTGGTCTCGCAACGTCTTTAAAATACACGGTATTTCCATTATTTAACCAGGCTGCCCACCAGCCGAAAGAACCAACAGTTATTATGGTATGGTTGCATTTGGATAAGGCACACATGTCTACATTTCGTGAATTTGCTTCCACGTGTATTACGTCACTTCCGTTGATATTGTCTGCTCGCCATTTTACAGCATCTTTTGAATGTCCGGTGAATACAAGAAATAAACAGTTTTTAAATTTTGTTCGGTAATATTTCAGTGCTTTTTCTATATATTCTTTATTTACAGTTTGATATCCATATTTTATATTATAATCTTTTAAGTAATCTCCCCGTCGGAGATGTATTCCTATAATTTGTAAATTTTCGGAAATACCTTTTTGTTTTATATAAGAACTAGTGTACTTATTTATTACAGACTGTGCTTGCATTTGTACTTCCTGTGTAAAAGCAAACTGTTTTCTAATTTCAGATTCGAATTTATCAAAGTATTTCCAGGATTGCAAGTACGACCTATGTTGAGAATTCCTTCTTCTGTTAAAACTAATTGTTTCTATATCGTACGCACACGGTCTTTTTTCGCCCACTACTTGAACATTGATACCACATACTGATGACGTATTGTTCATTTTAAGCACGTCTAAGTTGGGGAATACCGTGTTGATATGGTCCTTCTTCCCTAAAACTAAAATCATTCTCTTAGTTTTAGCGATTCCATAAAGAGAAGCATACATGAACATGAGATTGCCTAGTCCTCCTCTGAAATACGGACACAAGTAGGTAGGCTGGTCAAAAAATAGGACGATCATTGATTGATTAATGACGAAAACGCTGACGACAGTTATAAAAAATACACAGACAGATATTACCGAATAAATTGCTGAAACAGAAATAGATAAATATAAATTAAATGCATTGATTACATTTTAATATGTAGCAGTTGCAAATGACACAAAAGATCTTTGTTTCTTGTTTAGATATATTTTGGTAATGACCACACGTCCTATTTTGGCGGAAGCAGTGCCCACTTACCCCCCCCCCCCCCCACTCCACTCATTCATAGATTATTGTTTGCAAACATCACTTCCCCCCCCCCCACTCCACTCATTCATAGATTATTGTTTGCAAACATCACTCCCCATTCAGATATTCCACAAGAAAATCATTACCAATAATTGATATATTTTCCAAGCTATCAGAACCTATGACATCATAAGATGTAATCCACATGGGATCATTCATATTATTAGACAAAAGATCAGAACACAGTGTTTACAGACATCTTATCTGAAGATGAAGATTCATGACCCATTGGCAAATACATTTCTACCCATTGTTATATTTTTTTGGGAAATTGCCACCATTGATATATTTGACATTCAAAACCAGAGGCTCTAAAAGAGCCTGTGTCGCTCACCTAGGAATATGTGCATATTCAACAAAGGACACTCTCCAACATTGTAGACGAGAATAGAATCCATGACAAAAATCTCTATTTTGTTGATCTTGTATTGCTGATCGTTTTTTTTTTGTTTTTTTTTGTTTTTGTTTATTTTCTCTCTATCTTTTTTAGTGTTTGCTCAAAACACAAAAGAAATTAAAAAAAATCCTCATTTTAGGGCAATCACTCCTATAAAGAGCGACAGTGTACTAACTTTATCGGTAAAATTTGACATGTTTGTAGATCTTGCCTTGCTGATCATTTTTACTATTTTAAGTTTCTACTTATCTATTTTAATTTTTATCATATAAGGCAAAACGCAAAAAAATGGTAAAAATCGTCATCAAAGGGCAATTACTCTAATTAGGAGTCTACTGACGATTTCGAAAACGCAGACTTATTTGTAGATCTGATCTTGTTGATCATTTTTGCAATTTAAAGTTTCTCTGTATTTGCTATAGTTTTCATAGACAAAAATGAAGAGAAAAAAATATGGTAAAATTTGTCATTTAAGGGCAATAACTCCTATAAGAAGTCCCTTGACAGTTTTGACGCAGATAGACAATTGGTAGAGCTCAACATTTTGAATATGTTTGTTTCTGTCAGATTATAATAAATAGATAGACAAAAACTTGCATTTTACCGCTATGTTAAAATTTTAGCCATGTCGGCCATCTTGCTTGGTAGGCAGGGTCATCAGACACAGGTTTTAAACTAAATACCCTAATGATGATTGTGGCAAAGTTTGGTTAAACTTGGTCCAGTAGTTTCAGAGGAGAAGATATTTGTAAAAGTTAATGGACGACGACGGACGACGACAACGGGCGACGGACGCAAAGTGAGGAGAAAATCTCACTTGCCCCTTAAGCCAGGTGAGCTAAAAATAACCCATACCAGCGGCACGTCCGGGTATACATTAAAAAAGGAAGAGCTTCTGTTGAGTAATGTAATGTGATTCAACGTGGTTAATCCGTTCATCACTATTTTTTTTTTTCATTTTTCGTCCAACCTTACTTCAATATCTGGAATTCATCTTGAAGTTTTTAAATTTCGGCGCTTGAATTGTTCTCATACGACAAATATAGACCATACGTACTTATGTGTATATATCATTTGGTTTAACAAGGCTGTATTGATCGATAAAATTTTACATTGCAATGACACTTTAGAATGAAATATTATATATATTATAATAAGAAATGTCCAGGTATCATTCTTAAAAATGAAATACAAACTACAGCGCCTCTTAATAGCTTTTAACGTCACATTTTTTTTGAACTGGTACTCTATCTCTTAATCAATATTTAGAATTACCGCAAATACAAAAAATGCTTTTTATGAAATAACTGTATATATATATAATAATTATATAACATCTTCACACGCTTAAAACACATGTCTTATGTCTATCTCTAGATTCGCCTTACGTGACAAGGTAACACTACGACTATTGATGTTATATCTTTATATAGCGGATGTGGTCGTGTGGTCTAGAGCGCTGGACATGATGCTAAGCGATTGGTGCTGTAGTGTATCAAAGGTGTGAGTTCGAATCCCGTTGAGGGACAAAAAGTTGTCAGCATAAAAGTCTAATTCTAACACTGTTGGGTGTAATTTTATATATATACTGTGAAATGTAGCAAGTTGTGAAGAGTTTGGCGGAATGATGTACATATTTGACATTATCTTTTTTATTTCACTTTTGTAAGTACAGTTTTCGTTTAGCTACGTGTGTTTGTTTTACAGGGAGAAACGAATGTATTATGCTTTTTGAACACACACATGTACACATTGTTGATTATCAGCATTTTTTTTTAGTAATGTGAATACTCAAGGATTTCGTCGTAACCAATTAAAACTAAAATGACTTATGTTTTATCCAATAAATAAAAAAAAAACACTCTTTTCGTGTACAGCAGATTTTGACCTGTGTTGCATGTTGCATCTGCAGTACCGACATACGGTAATGATCGGTAATAGCTAGGATGTCTGCTTATTTTTATAAATTAATAAATTTTGTGTGAACAGAACAAATAGTATATCATAAAAATGAAAAAAATTGTAATTGCCTGACAAGTAAGGTTGAACTAACAGAACGGTGTCATTTGCTTAATCTATTAAAGGGTGCCACATATGTAGAGCAGGATCTGCTAAACCTTCCGTAGCACCTTTTGATGTGGGACGTGACGCTTACTCTTCAGTTTTTTTATGTGGTGGTTTGATGGTTGTTATTTGCCTTTTTCGTGATTTTTTCGTTCTCTCTTCAACTTATTGGTTTTAATCTCCCTTTGGAATCTTCTTTTTTTTTAAATCATACACACCTTTTCGGGAACTAAATTGTTTTAGTATACGCATGGCAATCTGAAAGAAATGTAAAATTTATAGGATTAACACATTTTATTAACTTTAATTCTGTTATTTGAACAAACTTAGTAATACTATGCTAATGCTGAAATATGTGTCAACTTTTAAGTGTAGACGTTTACTTTCCGAGAACATTGACGGAGATGTACCGAGAAAACAAAGATATTTTGTCTCACAAGAAAAGATTGAAAATTAAAGAGCCATAGATTTTTTAATTTTTTTGCACAGCAATATCTTTACTTTGCTGAAAGAATCTATATCCTTGCCTTTTTGTGTATACCATTTCACGAAATATACATTCCCTCTCAGTTAAAAAAAATGAATGTGATCAATTTACAGTCAAGAACAATTCAACAAAGGAATAAATGAACAATTAGGAATACTAGTAATGGAAGATAATGGAAGATTTGTTTAAAGCTGTATATTTTGAAAGCTAATAGTGTTGACATTCAATGGACAATACTTGTCATGATAGTTTATGTAAATAATATTATAATAATATATTGATTTGAATTTTGCTTTAAGTCAGTGCTTTTCGATTTCGATAAGATTGATACGTTGATTTTTGTTTACTGCACGTCCAGTGACACATTTTTCATGCATATTCAGGACGGATATCTGTGAAGATGAATGACCACTATAATGAAATAATAGAATACGTTACATTATGATGTCACTTCCAAGGTATAAAGTAAAATAAACCGATCGATTTCTAGGATATAATGTAAACTTCAAGGTTGTTTGTTTGTTTCTTCGTAATTGTTCAATTGTCGTCCAGCTGTTAAAACACGTGACAGAGTATGTACACGATGTATAACTACGCAGCCACGTCAGGCCGATATATGGAGACGTTAATATTAGCCGTGTAGCTCTGTTGACGGGTGAAAATTCTTCCATACCCTGTAAGTTCCTATAGTCTTTTCTAATGTTAGTCAAAAGTGCCCGTCCGTCATCCGTGTTGACCGAATTCACAGATCCTACCTGTTGATTTTTTTTTAAAACGTTCTCGTCCTGAATACGCATGTCATATTTGCCACTGGACTTTAAGGAAACATTAAGCTATCATTCAATCAATGAAAGCCATTAGCTAAATATTTTAAAGCATACTGAAGTACTATAAGTAATTATTAGTCACAGAAGATAAAATATTATGATCTTGCAAAATCGAAAATTCTTAAAAAATTTATGATACAACTAATTTCCAAATTAATTATGTTAAAATAAATCTGCTTTCTAGTAAGCTTTAAGGATCATGTTACATTTGATAAGGGACTTTCCGATTTGGATTTTCCTTGGAGTTCGGTATTTTTGTCATTTTACTTTTTACAACTCAAATTTATAAGTACTGAAACAAAATGTTAATATTTACAATTATAAAGTAAAACAGATACATGTAACATGTACTAAATACTTCACGATATGTTTTATCTGAACCCTTTTTACAATCCTAATCATGTTCATCAAATATTTAAGCTAAGTTAACCTGTTGAGGAAAAGTAGTTCCAACATCTATTTCACTACGACTCGCGCATTTTTCGGTCCATATTTTCCACTCGTGACTAGAATTCAAGACTAATTGTCACTTCACTATCTACTATAATAATATAACATGACCTTATCATGAACCAAATACGTGTATATTTATACTACACGTTTATTTGTTCTGTATTGTATTTAAATTCACACCAATAAGGACGATCATCACATGAAAAAAAAAATCCCAAAACTTTCAGCTTGCAGGAGTCGGAATGAGGGGTTGGAGAGCACCCGAAGATAAAGGCAATATAATAACCCAAAGTACTTACCTGTATCAGTTTAATGAAGGTAATGATAAATGTAATTTATATGTTACGGTTTTATAACCCCCCACCCCACCCCCTCTATTATCAAGTATAAACAAACATTCATATTCAGACAAACTGAGGATAGGTGTGTCTGGATTAGAAATCCGAGAACCGGACACGCTCAACATACAGAAATACAGATTGGATATTTAGGAACTCCCTTTTTTGTGGGGCAATCCAGGGGTGGAGGTCCAGGAGTTAGAATCTCTGTTTTTTTTGTAAGATCAATGCTTAAGAATAGAGACATATGACAGGGATCAGTGGCGGATCTAGGTGGGGGTGGGGGGGGGGGGGGGGGGGGGTCCGGGGGTTGGACCACCCCTATTTTGTGACGATCAATGCATTTGAATGGGGAAACATGGTTGGAACCCCCCTTTTTATCCTGGGTTGGGACCCCCCACTTTTAAAATTGGCTGAATCCGCCCCTGGGGATCAAAACTTTTACCTTCAAGCAAAGGAGTTATGGATTTTTAAAATAGATGCTTTATACTTTTTTCGCTATTTGAATATCAAATAGCGAAACAATTAAAAAAAAACACACATTTTAGGAAATTTAAATTGAATTTCCTGAAAATTGTTTTTTTTTATATCTTGAAACAACTTGTAGTGAACACTATTAGTAATTTCTTTTGTTCATGCTATTTAAAAAAATAATCAATTTCTATGGTTATGAATAACAATGGACTTAGTTTTCGGGATGTAGAAGCAGGGGTTTCCAGAAACCCCGCTCGTCACACCCTGTGGTCAAAATCCATTGTTCTTCGTTACAATAGATCTATTCAATTTACACTTGTTTCAGAAATAGAAACTATGAAGTATAACAATAGAACTGGGGTGTAAGCTCAAAGACTAGATTGAGTGTTTGACATAATTATTGTCTATCGTTGAAAACCTAATGCTGACCCTAAGATATCGATTTGACTTTTTTTTTCTTTGATTTCTAATTCGTTGCTTTATTCCCACGTGGTCTAAAGGAAAAACAAGTAAATTTTTATTCGGAGTTGGATGTGTAAACATATTTTCTATAATTGATTAAATGACTATACAAGATAAAAAAAAATAATTAAAAAAAAAAATTAAAGATATATTATATATATATATTAATAAGTCGTAGTTGTATGCAATAAAGAAGACAACAAAATGTACAATTAGAGTTATTACCGACACTTACTTGTGTAAATTTGAATAAGTGTTGGTAGGAAAATACACAATTTACATATTTACGATAACAAGATAGTTCATGAAGCTTAATCAAACTTGAAGTACCCTAATTATATGATCAAATATTTAATGGAAATTATTTCACAAAGGCTGGAAATTCAGTCAGAGAAAATATATATTTGTTTACGTACTCAAAGCTTTACTTTAAGATGATGTTAACACATGACATAGGCAAAAGCTCTGTTATGATCTGTACCTCATGCAGATATACTGCACAGTTCAAATGTACATTTTATACTCTTATTTATAGGGGCGGATCAGGATTTTTCAAAGACCCAGGAGGGTAAATCCATAAAAAGGTTTAACGATTTTAGGATTAAACATTATATATTTTCCTATCAAAAAGGGGGGAGTGGAGTTAAAGATTGAAAAGTGCAAACGTTTTTTGTGTATAAAAAGAAGATGTGGTATGCTTGCCAATGAGACAACTCTCCACAAGAGACCAAATGACACAGAAAAGCAGTCGAAGAATTCTTATAAAAACGATATTGAACAGCCCGACAGAATGACGTTAGTAAAACAAGACAGACATATAACAAACACTTGTTTGATTTTTGTTTATATGTTTATATAAAAATTGTGAATACGTTTAACAGAAACAATCAAAGTTTTGCCATTAAAACACAATTCTTCAAATACTGTTACATTTTAGGAGAAAGCCTGAATATCAACAAAGTTATAGTTAAAAAGTTACCAACCTTTTACTACTTAAATACTGTTTTCCCCTTTCTTTACCCTAGAAGAAAAAGTTTCCCAGGAGCCGTGGATTGGATATTTTCCGAATATTTCCATAACGTTCATCTGAATTGATGGCGTCATGTGTTAAAACAGTTATTGACCAATCAAATCGGTATAATTATATATAAAAATAAAAATCCGCACGATGGGGATGACCTAGTATTAAACCGAACTCCTAAGTCGTTCAGGTTAAGTAAGGTAACCCGAGCCGTGCAGATTAAATGACATATACCGACTTGCTTGGTCAATAACTATGACTTAATCGTTTTTAATTTAATTTGCTAACATCGGTTTTTCTTTTTCCTTTTTCATTTTTATGATAAATATGACCAATAATGTGGTTAATAAATAGTGCTATTAGGGTATTATAATTTAAAAGGTTGCAGTTTGTTCTGTTGTGTACAAACAATATCACATTTATTAAAATTACAAATGAAATTGATTTCACACGTGGTCATTCATCAATGACATGCGTTTCCGGAAAAAAAGAAGAAACATAGAGAGAGGATTAAAAAAGAAAGAAGGTAACAAGGGGCAGTATAAAATCTAAAATCCATAGATGGCTAAAAATTGAGAAACAGAAGCCCCAAAACGAGGGTGAACTCGCGAAAGGTCAACAGTTCCGCAATGGTGACAGATAGTTGCTTAAATCAGACTCTAGTTTGTAGTAGTCTAGAGATTAACAAATACACCACATCTCCTTATTACATTTAGAAGGGGCAATGTAGAAATTATAGCTGAATTGTTCTAAATGCTCATACTAATTTCTCATTTTGTGGTACTCGTCGTAGGTTGGGGCCCCATGGTGAAAAATCTTTCCCCAAATATGTATGTTGTATATTGCTGACTATGTGTGTCAATTAAACTCCGAAAAACCTCAAAAAGTAATATAAAAGTTAGAAATACTTACAAGTTGAATGTTAAAATCATCTGAGAGCAAAATTAAATGTATGCATAAGAATATTGTCACACTAGGAACGAACACGTACAAAAGTGTGAACTTGATTGTCCTCAGATTTCATCTTATGACTTCCTGTGTAACTTTCCTGTAGCTAATTTTATTTCCGTAAAAAACTAACAACTATATAATAATATACATTGAACAATAATGAGTAATTTTAAACTGTTTTACATCCACGCAATGTGCATATAACTATTTACAATAGCTACATTAAATAATTATGCGCGTTTTTACTAGTTCATCGTTTATTATCGCTTATTATTGATATGCCTAGGGATTATGAATGCACCATGTGTTATCGACAACAAAAATTGTCATTGTTTCACGACAGTTTTTGTTTAAATTATAAAGGTTGTTTTTCTACATCAAAACTGTTGCCATTTTATAATTCGTCAGTACCAATAAAACGCATTTTCATCAATTTGATTTTCGGATAAAAATCATCTATAAGTTTGATTTTTGTCATATGTCATATATAAAATTCATATATTTTTAATATTAAATATTATTCACAAAGATGTATCGAACCTGCGTTCATAAAACAAAATACATGTATGTCTCTGGTTTATGTAAATAAACGCTAACGTGTATATCATATTACCCGATACCGAACGGATATTATGATAATTAAACACAAATATTTTTTAACGGCATTGAATGTGTAAAATCAATTAAAAAAATATAAAATAATATCAACATGCTAAAAAAAAAATATCGAATTCAAAATCTGCTCACCTTTAGATTAAAGAGCACGCCTTTTTATCTGTGTGCTTGTGATTATGTCGTCTGTCAAACATTGCCAGATAAAGCAAAACAGATAAAAGATTAACTATAACTATTATCAGTAAATTATTGAACGTGTGAGATATTTATGAGAGTTTGGTCCGTAAACAGAACGTATGATAGAAAAGTAAACAAGTAAAATTGATAGATAATATTCCATTCAAATTTTGTCGCTTGGCATATCGTGTATACATTTGTCTATTACTGAAGACTTAAATTCGACCTTTATATGTCTATTTGGTTTCTTGTGTGTGAGGTTGCTGTCTCATAAATGTTTATCGACAACTCTTCTTCTTCATTTATATTTTGAACCAACCTCCTCAAGGATTGCCTATTGAAAAACTTACCTTTGAAACCCCCACCCCCGTAAACAGATTGGTACTAATTGTAATGCTTTTTTGATATTTAATGTTATTCAGGGTTATATCTGGTCTATATACCAGCTTTGATAAGTGTTTGGTATTACTATAAATTTTCACTTCGTACTATGAACATCAAAATTATTTATTTTGTAAAAATATTTCCTTTCTCTATTGGTACTGTACACGTATACCTTACAACTACATTATTTTCATTTACCTGTGTTTAAAGTTATTGCAAATGGCTGATATTTTTTGTTCGAGCATATTCTTTTTCTTAATTTGTTTAACATTTCATACCGATATAAGGGAACTACCATTTGATTTTTATTGGGGCTAGGATGAAAAATGTTGTCCTGCATTTTTTTTAGTTGTAATCTCTGTCCTGCCTTTATTTTTCACTCTATTCGGTCCTGCCCTTTTTTATCCGTTTATCCTGACTTTTTTTTACCTAATATGTCATCCTGACCCTTTTTTTTTGCAAGTGTCTCATCCTGCCTTTTTTTTTACTCAAAACTCCTGTCCTGCCTATTTTTTTCAAATTTCCTCCTAGCCGACCCCCCCCCCCCCCCCCCCAAAAAAAAAAAAAAAAATCAAATGGTAGCTCCCTAACATGTTACTTTTATTATTCTTCCCTTAGTTTATTTATTTTGTATTTACATTGTATCATAGGTCAAATTTATTTGTTCAGTGTATGTTCACTGGTGTTAATATGTCCTTTGATTGAGTTAATCTATTTCAGTTGATATTTTATAGTGCGTCTTTCTATGTTGTGATGTTACACTATTGTTTCAGAAAAAGGGTGAAGGTTTGGTACCATTAAAACGTTTAAACCCGCTGCATTTGTTTGCACCTGTCCTAAGTCAGGAATCTGATGTTCAGTAGTTGTCGTTTGTTGATGTGGTTCATAAGTGTTTCTCGTTTCTCGTTTTTAATATTATAGATTAGACCGTTGTTTTCCCGTTTGAATGGTTTTACACTAGTAATTTTTGGGGCCATTTATAGCTTACTGTACGGTGTGAGCTAAGGCTCCGTGTTGAAGACCGTACTTTGACCTATAATGGTTTACTTTTTTAAATTTTGACTTGGATGGAGAGTTGTCTCATTAACACCCATACTACATCTTCTTATATCTATATAAGCATAGACATACAAAAAAGGGGGTTTAAATGAAAGTGTTGTCTTGCCTAGTGTATAGAAATATAGTTATTTGTGGACTTTTCCCAAATGACAGTAACATCCATGTTTAAGACAGTATAGAGAGGCACGTCTTTAGCTGTTCGGAGTGTATACACACAGCCACGTCCGGCGTTCGGAATGACTATACGTTGACACCGATGACACGTGTATATAGAAAAGCCGGACTGCAAGCACTCTGCATGTTTAAAAAACCCTTTTCCTTCGGATTTTATGTTAACGTGTCGATCTCGTCCTAAAGATGCATGACATATTTGCCACTGGAAGTTAACCAAATAACAATGAAAAAAAAGGCAGCATCGTTGACAGTGTCACGTGACCAAAGACACAAAAACTCTGCCGCGGGAGATATCCACATGAGAAAATTCTGTTGAAACAGAATGTCCATAATAAAAAACTAAATTGCCGTTGTATTCTTATATTTTCAAATGTTTTAAATGTTTCAGTTTTTTCAACATTCCATTGATAAAATTCGAAAAATAAATTAATGAGCTAACATGAATCAGATGCTGATGATGAATGACTATTATAGGGGGTCTGGATGGGAGGTCCTTCATTTCTGTATTCTTTAATTTTTCTGTATTCTTTTTACTTTTTGCCCACTATTCTTTATTCTTTATATTTTAGCACCTCATTATTCTCTATTCTTATTTATTTGGATTCATTTTTCTCTATTCTTCATATTTTTTGCCCATTATTTTCTATTCTGTAAATCCCTATCAACACCCTCAATAACTGTAAACTGTCAGTAGCAAAATAAATGAATATTCAGTATAACCTATAAATAATCTAAACAGTATAAACATTAGCCTGCATATTACCAAAGGCAAAAGCAGGTCTAGTAACCGCTAGACTCCGTCTGTCCGTCCGTCGGTCGAACCATCCGAAAGACCTTGAGTAGACTTCTATGAAAAGGAATGATCAATATTTGTATTGCAGTTTAAGAATGTTGAGTTGAAGAGAGTAAGCTACTTTTTACATTCGCTGTGTAGCAACTTACTACTTGTCGATAGTTTGAAATTTTACATGTTAACGCGGAGTAAATATGAAGCCGTCTTTTTACTAGATAGACACGTTAAGCCGATATTTTAAACATGCTTGTTCACAAGGAAGACATGTTATCCTATCCGGAAAAGTTATTCCGACTTCAAGCTGATCAGTCGTTGCTCCTACTCCTATATGCCGCGAACTTACCGGAGAAGCAGCAAATACCAATGTTCTTATCATTGCTCTGATACTTTTTACAGAAAACAACTCTTTGAAGACTTTCGATCATTTAATAAAAGAGTTATAAATTAGTCGATTCTGTATTTGCCCTTATAGATTCTCGATCAGCTGTATTGACCGCTTGACTTTTATCAGGCTCGAGGTCAATACAAGTAACCTATATCTATACGACCTTATTAACAATATGATATAAATACCAGATTGTCATTTACTAGGCGTAAATACCTTTGAATGTTGACAGTATAAGGATAGCATAAAATTTACCTAAATCCATATTTTCCGATATGCTGCTTAACGGGCTAATATGACAAAAATATAGATTGTTTACGGTAATTATTACATGTCAGTTCGTAATTTTATCTCAAGGTAACATCCGAAACACTCCGAAAATTTGAGATACCGTTACATTTTCAATAGCAACGCAGTAGGGTGGAAGACAAATATGAGGGAACAGGAAAAAAAAAAACAAATTAATTGATATATTATATGCATTGTTTTCAAAGTTTTAAAACTTTGTATGATTAGCCCACGGTCGATATCAGTCCTCGAGACTTCTAAAAAGAAGACTGTTATGTACTAATCTGATTTTATTCCTTTCCTCCGGAAACAAAAAGTACATTTTAATAAACAAAATTTGTTACAAAATACATTGTAATTCATCTGTTCATATTCAGCAATGTCTTGCATTTGTTTTTGCTAAGAATAGAATAACGTTACTAAACTGTTCACATATTTCTTCACATATCGTTTCACATATGTATATGGAGTATGGAGATATCCGTAGAAACAATCTTTTCAGCAGTTGGAGAACCAAGTAAATGAAGTCTCGTTTCATTTCAATAATGAATAATCTCATGAAGTGGTCTCTAGTTTCAATTGAAATTTAACAAAAATTAAGTAGTACTACATGACTCGTTAAAATAGAAGATTCTTTGACAAAAACTCCAATACTGATTACGGAGACAAAATATCAATAAGACACTATTATTATTCCTTCGACAAAGCAGCTCAAAACAGCTATTTTATAAAAGAAGGTTTTATGCCAAAAATTGTGATTAAAACAAATAAGGAGTAATTTAATTTACTTTTTTTAGGTAACTAATTTCCCAATTATGAATAAGATTCATAGTAAAAAGTAAAATAACAATAATACCGAACTCAATGGAAAATCCAAACGGTAAGTCCCTTGTAAAATGGCAAAATCAAAAAACTCAAACACATCAAACGAATGGAAAACGACTGTCATTACAAACCACAAATCGAAGAGAAACAAACAATACCGAGGACAAAAAAGCAAAAATAAAAAAAAACGACGAACTAAAAAAAAAAATCTATAAGATTGAGCAACACGAACCCCATAAAAACCGGGTTCAACTCATGTGCTCCGGAAGGATAAACAATTATTACTGAACTATTAGGACCAGTTGTGCTGCTCAAGGCAAGTAAACATTCGATGATAAGTGGCATTCGGTATCACCATCGAGAACCAGAGAATAAAAGTGTTGACTGAAGTGATCATAGTTAATTTGATCATCGGTGAAAACATTTAAACATTGATCGTAACTGAAAGAACTTATAAAAAAACCACACTCTAAATATTGGTCTTACGAAAAAAGTAGCACGTAAGAGTAAGATAGCTAAATATTAAGCTTAATGCCACAATTCTATATTTGGA